GTAGTGAATTGAGCAGAATAATTCACAGTACTTACTGAATAATAAGTTATAATAACTCAACAACTTTGTTTTGCATAGAGGGCCATCATAGTGATGAATAATGTGATGAAGTGAATTAAAATAGTTCAGAACCACAAGTTTAGTGATGAACACAGAAGATTGTGTATGTGCACAATATTTGTGGAATGATGTGCCAAGACTTGGTGGGTTATAAACACAGCATTTTTGCATATTTCCCTTGCCCATTTTAGGGGTTTTGTGCAGTATAATGACATCATACTGAAAAAAAATTTGCATTAGATTTCTGGGGCTGCAGAGGTACAATGGTAACTTAGGTTACCCCATTGGGATACCAGCTGCCACCCCCTGCTTTGCAATAGATCTGCCAATGCAGTCTGAAGTTTCTTGGCACCATGAGGAGTTAGCTTCTAGTTCTTTTCAGAATAAAGCAGTATTGTCATGGGATAAATACCCTTCTTGGGTAAACGTCTGATTTAGAACAGAGGGCAGGAAAAGTTGGGCCTCCATGGCCTGCTTAACTTCTAACTTCATATCCCAAGTGGGAACACAGATGAACTGAATGTGTTCTCAGGTATCAGCTAAACCAATACACACACAGACACACACACTCTTCTACCTATTTCTATTGCTCTGTAAATCTCATAGTGCAAAAGCACTGGGCAAGACACTCCAGCAATTGTCCAAAACTTTGAACAAACACTTCGTTGGACTTGGTTATTTTAAGACTGAGTTCTGCAGCGCTGCTTGATGATATTGGCCTCATCTGTGAACTGGAATATAATACACACAGGAACAGTGGCAGATGAAGTTCATTTTAAGTTCAGGCAGTCATTCCTGCTTGAGTCTCAAAGTCAGTAAAAGCAGAAACAGTGCTTTGATTTATGATTCTCGATAAGTGTTCATTAAGAGTTGATTACTAAACATGCACATTGCCTCCACAGTAGAGGGTCTCACATACCTTGGTATTAGAAATCAGGTCATCTGAAATGAAGAATATCAATCATTAAAATTTATGTTTTCTAAGAATTTGTCAAGTGTTTAAGTGTGGCAACAAGATGTTTTGTACATATGTTCCTCACTACAGACAGTGATATGAATCCTTTTCCCTGAGAAAATGACTAAAAACTCAAAAGGCACTTATGATGGAAGCCAATAGGCAGATGCTTCAGCAACGAGTTGTTTGTTTATTTGTAAGTAGAGGGAAGTTATTGCCAGTGGTAACTGTATATTACAGATGTGGCAGATAGATTAGGCTTATGAGATCATGTGCAATATACTATCATCTAATCGTGGCCTGTAACCATCACCGACTGACAGTTGTATCGTGAGGGGGTTGCAGTGGCAGACAAGTGATGTGATCATGTGAGTGCATTTTCAGAAAAAACTTTGAATACTAACTGAGAGCTGCTCATAACTTGCAGTCTGCAAATCCTCTTAGTAGATATCTGTGGCTTTATTTTCCTTTACCTGTTTCAGCTGGTAATATGGTAACACCATGCTTAAATCAGAGAAAATAAACATGCTCGTATTTATGCTCAGAAACTTGTAAGCTTACTTTGTTCTTGTTTATGGTTTGGTTATCAGTATTTTTTGGTAGTTTTTGCTAAAGGTTTAATAAATCATGCATTTATAGCCTAAAGATTTGCTCCTTGGTCAAATAAACAGACAGCTAAAGCTAAGCTTTGTATGTTTTTATTTTTATTTTCTTTTATGTAACATCATTTTAGCCCTTGCAAAATAATGCATTCTGTTCATGGAAGGCTGCAGCATGGCTTTATCTGTTTAGCAAGCATGACCACAGGTTTAAAAAGAAAACAAAAAAGCACTGCCTTGCAGTGTTGTAGAATGTTCTGAAACTGGACAACATATTTAGGTGTGGACATGGACTACATACGAAAAGAAAACATTCTAAAGGCAACATACAAATAAGAAAACAAAGATCATGAGACTGTTTACTTATGTCCATCTTCTAGCTGAGCAAGGCAAGTTTTCTGACATTTAACCTTTTGTGACATCCCACTTAACTGGCAATTGCGATAAATCTTTCGGTGTTTCACAATGCTATCGTCAGTCAACTCAAGCCTAATAGAGATTACATTGAAACACTCTGAAATAATTCTTTATGGCAAAGAGATGTTTGACACATGCCATTTTACTGTTGGTTCAGTTTAGTCCCCATGTCTAAGTGTTTTAACAGAAAAGAAGGCTTTATGGTTGAAGTAGTAAGATGTATCTTACGGGCAGTACTGGTTTCATTAAGTCTGTATTAATACTAAAGGCTAGTACTTTGTTGGTACTAAAGGCTATATGTCTAAAGTTTAGAGCCTTCACACATTTTCCACTGCTTTTCTGCATCCTTTGGCCTTCGTCCAGCTATTCTGTACACAACCAGAGGGACTGCTGTAATTGGGTTGTTTACCTTGCCCTAAAAACCAGGAGCTGTGCTATAATAGTTTCACTTTCAAGCTCTCTTGAGCTCCACACTGTGCTCTTGCATAAACTCCCAGGTAAGACTCAATGAATAGTACCCAGATGGACTTTGAAAAAGATCAGGACTTTAAAATATTCTATTATCTGTGAGGCCATTGTGCTGTATTCCCTATGAAACTCCAGAGTTTCCAGCTGCTCTGTGGTGGATAATGAATTGGAGCTACTTACTGTTCCTACTGCTTCAGCCTGATAATGGACACACTAATGCATGCGCAAAGTCTGTCCCTGGTGTGTAATTAGACTTCTTTTGAGATCATTTCTGTGTTCATAAAGCAGATTTCTTCTTTTTTTTTGAAAACCAGTATGAGCATAATGCTGTTTGATTAGATTTGCTCTTTGCTGGTGTTTGGAGAGAGAGGGCATCAATATAAAGTAGCAATAAAAGCCAGTAATGCTCAATTTCCCATAAGTGTTGTATTTGAACAGTGATCATCTTACAGTGATACTCCTGCTAGAACCCCTTTTGATAAGCCAGACTTTACTTACTAATGTAATTAAACCAGAGAGGTCCCTATCTTTTTTCCTCTGTTGGGTGGTCAGTTTAAAGAGTTTTACATATATACAGCTTTCATAAAGCAAACCGCTCTCTGTGCAGTATTGTTATAGTATTTTTTTCCATACCATTTCAAGCTAATGGTAAAAAGATGGTCAGCCTGGTGTGATGCTTAGGCTTCATTGAAAAGGTTTAAAAATAAGCAAAGCCACCAAGTCTAAGAACTTCATTTCTTATTTTTTAATAAAGCTGTTAATATTAGATTAAGCTACAGGCCATTGATTGGAAAATCTGTTTTTAGTTACAAAGCACCTCATGGACCTGACTCGCTCACTCACTTAAGATTTGTTCATCAGATTAATAATGCTGTTTGTCTTTGTTTGTTTTTTTATTGAAAGAAATAAGTGCATTATGCAATTACATATTATTCAATATGTATTTTCATTTGCATTTACGCTCATGTAAATTACTTTTTCTGCAAATGTTAATGCAGTCACTTTATACTTGATTAACTTAAACAGATAGTTGTGGCATGTGCCAAAGTTTTGACACCCTTTCAGGAATTATCAGTCGATGACAATTTCAGAGGACCTGAAAAGGAAGCTAATTGATGCCTACAAAGCAGGGAAAGGCTATAAAAAAATATCAGAACACTTCCAGCTGTCTAAAATGTCATTAAGAAATGGCAGTTAAGGGGAACTGTGGAAATTAAGACAAAGTCTGGAAGACCAAGAAAATTCTCAGATAGAACTGCTTGTATACAGGCCAGAAAGGCAAAGCAAAGGGCCTGTTGGAAGGTTTAGCTGACACAGGATTTGTTTTTGCACTATTCTCCTGTGCAGAGCTGCTTGCATCTACATGGGAGAGTCATCAGAAGGAAACCTTCCCCGCAACTTCCTCACAAAAGTCAATGTCTAAAGTTTGGTAAACAACATCTGATAAGCAGATGAGCAGAGGCATTTTGGAAGCAGGTATTGTGGACTGAAGTAAAAACAACCTTTTCACCATAATATGTTGTACTGACTTAGTAGTGTGTCCAAACTTTTGCACATGCCACAAGTACTATTTGTAAGCATTAATATTCACAGAAAAAATTATATATTTTATAAAATAATTTGCTTGTGTTCATTTTTTTCCATTAAAAAAAATCAATATGCAGTTTGACCAGAGGTGCCCGAACTTTGCATTCAGCTGTGTATGTATATCAAAGGTGTATGGAGAAAGAAATGGTAATTGAATAAAATAGAACTGTGTTGGCCTGTGGCTATTGAAATCCCCTGTTGGAGAATATTAAAATGCCCTCAGTATAATGTCATAATGAGATTTCCTGTAAGTATTTTTTTGAAAGCGCCAGCTGACATGCATTAACATATCAATACAAAAAGCCGTGCAAATATAACCTTTACGGGCTATTGAAAGTCAAGTGAAGATGTATTTCTTCTAAAACCCCAGCGTTCTTATGGCTTTGCTGGTATTTTCTCTTCCTTTATATTAATGATGCTCTACTGAGCCTGCCTTATCTGTTAAGCACTTGGGTAAATTCCATTCAAGTGCTCTTGCCATAAATCAGGGGTGAGTCTCGCCATTCATTACGGCCGCTGAATCAGCTATAATGATTCAATGAAGAAAAATCATCTCTTACAAGACTGCGAAACATGAATAAAGCCTCTAGACAACACTGGCTTCCTCAGTCCTTGTGGGAGCAGCACTGTGGAAAGAGATCCCATTATTGCTCATATGTGGTTTATAGTACATTGTCCTCATGTATAAAACTGATGTGTTTTTAATAATTCACATTTTGCAAAGTGAGCCACATTTTAGCTGTTCTGAAAAAGGTTTGGAAAAGAGGTCATTATATGATACAGTTCATACAAAGCTTTTTGTAACATTGGCCATATCATCTTTCATAATAGGCCTTTCTATAATATGACTCTTTAAAGGAATCTGTTTTTGAAGATAATGCTACATATTGAAGTAATGCTTTCCTTTCTTACAGGAATGTCCAAGTGGTGTGGTCAATGAAGACACATTTAAGGACATTTACGCTCAGTTCTTCCCACAAGGAGGTCAGTACATCTGCAGATATTACCTACCATTTTCCCCTCACATATACAGTCACATTCAGTTGAGTTACTGCACTGTGCTTGCCAATTTAAAGAATGCCATAGTGGTAGTGTATTACAGTGTTGCTGCATGTAGTCAGAGTGGCAGTAATTTACAAGAAAAGAAAGCATAGGGTTGCCTATGTTCTATACCAGTTTTGGAGCCACACAATATGAATTTTCAGCATAATTGATTGATTACAGAAACTTGCCTTTAATTTGCTGCATGCTTCAGATTGTTTTGATACAGTTGTTTGCAAAAGTTTGAACACCCCAGTTCAAATGACCATGTTATTAAATGTAGCGCTTTTGTTTGCTTTTCAACATATTATAAAAAACCTAAAATATAGCACAAAATAATACATTTCCTTTCTGTAAATCTGTTTTCTGTTTGTTAGTGTTTACAATATTATCAAAGTTTCCCTTTGGTGTAATTTCAAGAGAGCAAAACAGACCAGAACTTTAATGTTAGTGTCAGGTTTGTAAGGTATGCTTTTAGCGTAGACTAGCAGTACTCAGACATCATGGGCTAACTGTATTAATGCAAACTTGAATATCATCTGATAACCTGATGCTGTGGTATACGTTGAAGATATTGTGTTATTGAGCATTATCAGTACCTTATCAGGGTGAAAAGTACATACATACTTTCTGTGCACTCTTAAGTCTTAGTCCCAGTAGCGGTACAGGGACTGACTTTTTGGATGAGCATGACAAATCTGTGGGTGGACTGAACCTTGACTTTCACTCCCATGGCTAACTTATGTGTTGACCTCAGAAGAGCAAAATCTGAGATTTAACAGCATAGATAAATGTGGGCTCAATATTTGGCAGGCAGTAGATCATTGTTGTTCTTTTAATTTATATTTTTTTAATTTAGGTTATAACTGTTTATTCATGATTTTTAGATTGTTTATGGCTCAATTTACAGTTAAACCATTCATAAACCCTTTATTGTAAAGCATTACTGTGTATTTTGTTTTTTTTTTTTGGAAACTGTAATTAAAAGTGCAGGTATTTCATTTTAATAATATTTGAGCGAAGTATAAATCTTCCAAAATAGTACTTATGTATAACAGCAAAGTGCAGCCTCTCAAGTATTTTTCATCTCTAAATATTGACCAGCGCTGTAAAGCAATAATGAAGAGAAATCACTACCAAAGATCCTCTGTGAAAGATACATACACAGTGATTAATGGCTTTTGGGTATAAATATTGCAGTGGAAGTGGCTGCTGTTGTAGTTCACTCTTGTCTATTAAGCTCTGTGACAGCTAGTCAGAGAAACGGGCTAAAGTATTTCTGGGATTTGCAGTTCTCCAGTGACAAAACCTTTGAGGATTTGACATGTTTCACTCTATAAAACCTAACAAACAGAACAATGGCAAATAAAAACTCCTCCTGTTTCTGCTGACTGCCATTTGGACTATCCTAATAGCCTGGAAGATATTACCTCACTATTGCATAACTCTAAGTGAACCATTATTCTGTTTGTTGAATAATAGCAAAAACACATGCCAGTGCTTACTGGAATTGTACTAAATGCAAAAAAAGGAACAATATTGCATTAGGCTACAGACATTTCCTTACAATGGAAAAAATGTAATTAGAAAACAGTTTTCTGTTTCTTCTTCAAATAAGCATAGGCCTCTTTCAAAAATACAAAAGCTTATTTACATGGGCATAACAGATGATGCGGAAAATATGCATATTAATAAAGCTCAAATATATGGCAGTATTATGTGATATCAGAACTTAGTATAGGCAAAATGACCTCAGTATTCATTAGTGTAATAAATTTTGTCACATTACGTCACAGTACACTAGATACAGGGTCTTGCTTTTCTTATTGATTTTAAAGCCTTTCTCCTCTTGAAAATGTTTACGTGTGAGTCAGGTTTTTACCACTCTGGAGTAATTCTTCAAAAGCATCTACTTTTCATTTCACAATTCAGAGAGTGTTTACTCCCTGGTGGAGATGGTCTCTAATAAATAGAGTGAGTAGCAGCAAATCTTTTTTTTTCCAATGATGCGGCATCTACCTGAAACAGTGCAGAGATGTGTGTCTGTATGGAACTGATATTAGGCTTAATACTGCTAAGTTAGGTGAAATATGTAGGTTGGGTAATTCAGACTATAATATTTTCAGGGCAGGAGGGTGAAAAACACCAACATGGCTGATCCGCATGGCAGTAAAATCACTGAGGAGCACCTATAAAAGAGGAAATTACCCCAGGACCTCATTTAATTTAATCCCATCTAAATAGGACTACAGGTTGTTTTGGTTGAACCGTTTGACACCAGTTTGGAACCACAAATGACACCAGAGACGAGCTTGCACAGTATTGTAAACGTTAACTGAACAGAAAGCACATTTCCATAAAGAAAACCTACTAGTTACTTAGTTTTTATGTATTTTAAACAATATGAAGCACATAGTAAATGGCATATACGGAGTATTAGTTTCAGCAGTACTGATTAAAAACTGCAATATAATTCACTTCAATAACAGTGTACCACTATCGACAAAATGTTACCGAGCACTAATAATACATAAATGTAATACAGGCAACAATGTACTATGAACTGTAATGCTTTGATTGAAAGTACTAAGCTGGTTTTGGTTACTGTTTCAGATGCGTCCACATATGCACACTTTCTGTTCAATGCGTTCGACACAGACCACAACGGCTCAGTGAGTTTTGAAGTAAGTAACACTTACTTTATTTAATATTTCAAGCCAACACATGTTGTGCAGTTAGAGTACCCAAATTCACAATGATCGTATTTTTCAAAAACTGGCTCTGTGAACACCTGCCCAACTTGCTATTTCTGTTTCTATTCATTGGGTGCACTTTAATTCTTTTTCCCCCTCTAAGGAAAACCATAAAAAGTGTTACAGCACCACATGAAATCATACTCTCCAGCCTGGGTGCTGCTGGAAGTGTCCTGTTCTCCATGCAGTCAATGTGGATTCTGAAGCTTTATTTATTAACAAGCGTTGCTTGGCCTACAGCATGTTGGCAATTAAAGAAAATGAGAATATCGCCATTATAATTTTTAATAAATGAAAGTTGGATTTATGCTTTAATTATCAGCTAGATTCTTGTGCCTGCTTCTGCTTTACTGTTGTCCTCAGGTCTGCTGGTAATTTCACAAGCCTATGTAGGATGTGCAGTCTAAGAGATCCTTTGTAGTTTATGATGTGTGAAGCACAACTGGGTGAATTATATGTCCTTTTCTTCCTGTAACTGAAGAGAGGTTTGAATCATTCTGACTGTCCTTCTGCTTGATTTGATTGCAGGATTTTGTAATGGGTCTGTCCATTCTCCTCCGAGGGACAGTCCAGGAGAAACTCAACTGGGCCTTTAACCTGTATGATATTAACAAAGATGGATATATAACGAAAGAGGTACCGTCAGTTCTAAAGCAGAGAAAACCTATTTGTTAAGAGTTTTTCACTCGCATTTTAACATGGAAAAGCAATCATTCCTGATTTCTGTCACACAGGAAATGTTAGACATCATGAAAGCCATCTACGACATGATGGGCAAATGCACATATCCTATTCTTAAAGAGGAAACTCCAAGACAACACGTGGAGATATTTTTCCAGGTAAAATGACTTTTTAAGAATATCTGGAATGACTGCATTGTTGCATTTTTGTTTTGATTTTAAAAAAAGAAGCTGCTCTTTATATTGTGTGTTTCGTGATGATTGGATCAATAGAAATGGTCCAACATTCCTATAACATGCATTAAGGTTAACAATGTTTTTGCTTGTGGATTTCATTGTGACAATTGGAGCTGGATTAGTTTTACCAGAGGAGCCCTAGTAATGTAATTTGTAAGGGTATTGACTACCTGTTTTATATGCAGAAAGCCTCATGGCCTGGATGTTCACATCCACATTAAGATTACAGTTACAGGGGTCCAAACAAACAACAAAAACTAACATCCAATTAATGTTAAACAAGAACAGCATTAGGCTGTAGATCACAGTAGTCCTGTTTTGAACTTCAGGGGGAATTCCACTTTTTCCACTCTTTCCACTATTTTTTTTTTAGTTCTGCAAGATGTAATGGTTAAGATTTAAAAGTCCTTGAGAGAAGTTTGATGTGGAATTCTTTATTCTAGTAAAACTTTCAGAGTCAGAATTGTTCACAGTGGTGGTGACAGAAACCAGATGTCTGAAGAGTTTAATGCCTCTAAAAGCTACATCACAAAGTTATTACATGAAATGATTATGAATGCCTGATGTCTGAGACGTTGTTTTACTATAGTTTTGAGATCTGATTTTGGCTTAATGTACTTTTAAAAACACATTCATGGTTTAGAGCAGGCATGTCAAACTGGCCACCTTCCAGGCCAAAGTGCTGCAGATATTAGTGTTTACCCTCATACAACACTCTGAATTCAGTTCATAAAGGCCTTGCCGATTAGCTCATGAGCTAAATCAGGTGTGTTTAATGAGGCAGTGCGCTGAAGTCTGCAGTGTTTTGTCCTGCAAGAACTGGAGACTGACATGTGGTTTAGAGGTACATGCAGAGTGTTGTAACACAAAATAATCCCCAAAGAAAACTTTTTTACCACTGTTATCTATGTCCTAACATTATCATATCAACATTACAAGCTCAAAGAAAAAATAGGTTTACTGGTTGTTTTGGATAGTTAATAATAATTAGAGGAATCTCTGGGTTTGGTCAATTATAGAAGGTAATTCACTCCAGAATGATTACTTAGCAGACCTGTATAAACTAAAGGCATTGCAGATTTGTACCTGATTAAAATCATGCATCTCTTAATAATTGCTCAGATTACAGAACCTCCCAAGGTAACACTAATCCAGCTCAAATCGAGCTTAAGAAATAGATTCTGCAATCAGTGTCCTGAGTTTAGCCTTCAGTCTGATTTATTTTCTCTAGACTTACTGTGAAAATGGGCATTTTTATGAGAAGAAGACTTTTCACTTCTCTCGTTAATCGCTGTGGTGTTCGCATACTGCTGTAGCTGTGTGTGTCAGGGTAGAGCAGAAGTGGTGATGATGAAATTGTCTTTTTTCTGTGTCTTGACAACAGAAAATGGACAAAAATAAGGATGGAGTGGTCACCATAGACGAGTTTATAGACTGCTGCCAAAATGTAAGACTTTTTAAAATTATACATACAAATACTGTGCATGCAGTTTCCTCTGTTTAGTTAAATTTCATCATCAAATATATTTGAATAAAATAATATAATGAAACTGTAGTAGTAGGATGACATTTTTGCATGGTATTGTCTTACCTATGTAAGAGTAATCAGCATTCAGTCAGTATTATTTGATCTGTGTTGCCATTTCATGATGTAGATAATGATAGGCAGGTGGGTGCACTCGCGCTGTATTTGAATGCTGCTGCTACACCTGTACCAAAATATTACAGCATAATTATGCATGACTCTTTGTGCTAAATCAGAGCTCTCCAGCCCTGGTCCTGGAGAGCTAACTTCCTGCAGAGCCTAGCTCCAACCACAATGTGCCACACCTGTTCCAGCTAACCAGCCTCTTCCCAAGTCTTTGATTGATTGGCTGGATCAGATGCATTAGAGTTAAGTAAGGGGTGGGGCATCTTATTAGATAGAGACTGGAACTAAACTCTGCAGCGAGGCAGCTCTCCAGAACCAGGATTGGAGACCACTGTGCTAAACAGTCAATTGCCTCTTACCTTCGATACAGCATTTTATTGGATAAATGTTATATACACAGGCAGTATATAGTAATGGTCCAATAATGTTATGTCATGACTTTGGCTAAGAAAAAGTACTAGAAATGTGCTTCATGTGTTCATTTAGCCAAAATCGACCAAAAAAATCAGCATCTGCCAATTTGGCTGTGAAGAAATCAGCCATAAAACTTCATGGTAATACGTATATGAAATCATAGATTCCAGTTTGTTTTGATTGTTGAGTTGGATTTGGAAGCTAGCAGCTAGAAGCTTTCACTGGGAAAGAATCTCCCTATAATGAGTGGCTCCAAGCTTGTGGGTTGCCTTATTAAAATGTAATGTCCTGTTGTTTTTATGAAGCCATCGTCTCTTGTGGCATTGAGTGTGAAATGTCTCACCTGTGCTTGTCTGTCCTCCGCAGGACGAGAACATCATGAGATCGATGCAGCTTTTTGAAAATGTCATTTAATACCTGAATGGACAAAATGTCTCTGGTGGCTGGCCAGCGCTGACTGGGACCTTTCTGCTGATTTCCTCATCAAGACAAATCTATCTGAATGGAAGTCACACAATCAATCCATAAAACACCATCTCTCTGACTCAAACCTCATTCCACTTCCTCTCATTACAGCATTTGTAATTAAAGTATTAAAGAATTAAGGTTCTTTCCCCCCGCAGTTATTACTTTGAAGGATTCTGTGCAAATGGTACATTGCACACCCCCTTACTTGTCAAATAAGAGGGCATTTGGGAAAGGAGTGCTTTTAAAGGGCGCATATCCCAAATTTGTTGTACGTTTTTTTTTTTTCCCCCCTGAGGTCAACTTTGTGTTTGTGTGGCTTTATGTAGTAGGAGTCATAATTCAGTTTTACTTGACCATTTTCAAACTCTGTTTATCTCTTAGAATTAAACAGGCTGTTTTTGTTACTGTGCCTTTAAGACTGACATGTAAATAACCTCTGTTCTGATTGGCTGCCCTCAAAAAGCAGTCCTGGCTGAAACATTCCTTAGAACTTCAAAATCAATGGGAGGAGCTAAACTGCTGTAAGCTGAATGGGTGGATATATGTAAGTGCATTAGTTTTCATGACATCACAAAAACAAAGAATTTAAAACAGGCCATTTTTGCAGCTTAGTTTGGAGTAGAGTGAGTCTTTCCTTGATATGGGCCCTTTAATCTCCAAGCCATGTTCCATTTTTAAGTTTTAGTGTTGTAACGTTTGACATAAGCGTTGTTTTTTGGACTTACTTAAAATATCTGCCTCCTCTTTCTATGATTAGATTGCACAAGTTGGCATTTTTAACGAAGATAGTACACAGCAGTAACATTTATTTCTGCCCTTAATCTTACGAGAAAGCTGAGAGAACCTGTTGAGGTCAGTGTAGGTGCTTTAACCTCAGCCGTTTTAACCCTTTACTGAACATAGCATGTTTTTGTACGCGCAGTGCATGAGGAAACAGATTTAGGGTGTCATTACTGAAGCTGACCATCCTTTAACTATGAATGATGAAGCATTTCAAAGCATTATAATGAATAAGAGTTCATTTTTAGCTACTTCGGCCCTTATTTCTGTTTGTATTTTACTTTTTGTCCGTGTGAACTTTCTCTTATGCAAGCGATATTGTTCAATTTCTACAGAAACATTCCAGAATGTTCTTATAGCTCCAAGCCACAAAAGGTCCAAAAGACATTTCCAGAGTACGGAAAAGAGATACTGTATCATTTTTAAAAATGTATTTAATATAGATATCTACTGTTTTTCAACTTTGTTCATGATTATTTGCCAACCAGAACAAAAATAATAAATAATATGTATATGAAATAATAGATTCCAGGTTTGTTTTCATATGTTGAGTTTCAAAGCTAGCAGATAGAAGCACACAGTGTTATAGTGTAGGTTTATTATAGGAATAATACTGTCACAATATAATGCTGCTTATGTGTTTATATGTAAGTCCTATCAGATGATCACATGCTATTATCATGTTTACATTTGTTTTCAGGCACTGTGTTGCTGTTCTCAGAGCAACTTCTATTTACTAGGATTCTAACATTGTACCAAGAAATAGAGCACTGTTTGTTACTTAGCTCTACAGTATTTGGTTTGACCTTGTTATGATAAAGACTTTATCAGTATTTGTGTGTCTGCTAAGAACGTACATCATCCAAAGTCACAGGAGAGGCACTGATATGTTCCTGTCAGGGATAGGCACAAATTCTGCAAAATTCTCTAATTGTTCTGAAAAGCATTTTGCTTTGATGTTAATTTCAGGTTGTTTGGACCGACTCTTGAAGTATATCATTATTTTTGTAGATATATTTCTAGCCAGTTAACATTTCATGGCTTTTTTCAATACATTCTTTTGCAGGCTACAAGTTTGGAGCTTCCTTTCATGTCTTCCTTTTATGTCGTTCCAAGGCAGATTCATCCTTTTTATTTTTTTTTCTCCCTCAGTCTGCTTGTTTCTCTCTCTCATTCCTCCTGTTTTCCGGCATTAGGACTGATTAGCTTCCACTGTCTAAATCAAAGACATAGGGCTGCGATTGGCTGCAGCACAGACTGAGCAGCAAGCATGCTGGGTAGCAGATGTATGCTTTCCGTCACTCAGTTGCATCCAAGAGCACTTGGCAACCCGGCACAAAGTCCAAGGCAACATTTCTGACTGCTATGTACTACTCTTACCACCAGCAGTGTTATTTTATGGTGTACGCTGGGTTCTTTTCTGAGCTACTTCATTTGCATAAAATTGCTGTTTGCTGTTGTAATAGTCACTGGAACAGTTCTTTTGCCATTCGTGTTTATCGACTGATCACGTGTAATTGAAATGAAGCTACTCTTTTGTAATACTTTTTTAAACTATAGATAACATCTTTTTTTCTGGTAGACAGTGAAGCGTTTCAGTGATTAGCAGCTCTATTACAGTTCAATTATGGTTTTCTGAGGGTAAAAAGGGCACACAAGAATTTTAAACCCTCTGTTATTCAAGTAAATCGAAAGTCCACAATGTTGACTGGGATGGTGTGTTCATATTGACATGGTGCCACCTAGGGGACACTTGCTGTCTGTGCAAGTTGTACCAAAGTTAAAGGCCCCCTATTTTAAAATAAACTATTAACCAAGGGTCTTGCAACTTAACAAATAGCAAGCTTATTTAGGTTTTGGCTTTTGTTCATATTTGTTTATAATCTGTCTTTGCTTTCTTGTAGCATTCTTCCGACTGCCTTTGGAAACATGATGTCATAGCACACTTGCTGTAGAGATTCTGCATTGAGATACTGAACGTGGAAAATCTAGTAAGGATGCTGTGTGAAAGACTGGCAGCTGCATGTTTTGTGAACGAAGCTGAACGCTTCACTGCGCTAGTGAATGGCCCTTGGTGGTGGGTAGTAGTGAATGCAGCTGATCTAGTACTTTCTGTGCATATCACATGTCCCTATGGTACTAGAGGACATTTTGTGGCATAGATTCAATAAACAGCTCCGAATGTACACACTTGCTTGTGTTTTGTCTGTCAGAGAAACTAAAACAAATCTCTTTCTTGTCCTTTGGTGTTCAGTCATGCCAAATGTGTTTTATAATGAAATCAGGGCTGTCATGAATCATTGAGTAAACTTGATTACTCGATACAAAAAAAAAGTTAAAAAATGATGTCCTCAATGAATCAGCAGTGGCTTGTTGGTAATTTGCATGATGATTATGCATAATTCTCCTGCTCGTCTCTTACAGTAATAAGCATACTCTTTATGGACAAAAGTATGTGGACTCGCCCCCTAATGATCAAGTTCAGTTCAGAGATCAGCCACACCTATTGATAACAGGTGTATAAAATCAAGCAAACAGCCATGCAGTCTCCACAGACAGACATTGACAGTAGAATGGGTCGTATTGAAGAGCTCATTGGCTTTAAATGTGGCACAAGTCAGTGTGTGAAATTTCTGCCCTGCTAGATATGCCCCGGTCAACTGTAAGTGCTATTAAAGTGAAATGGAAGCATCTAGGAGCAACAGCAGCTCAGCCACAAAGCAGTAAACCACACAAACACCCAAAGCGGAGCCACCAATATCGTCTGCTGCATCACCCTCACTACAGAGTTCCTAAAAGCCTCTGGAAGCAATATCGGCACAAGAACTGTATGTCGGAAGATCACTATGCGCAGCACCATGCGTCAGCTGGAGTGGTGTAAAGCACGTCGCTACCTAAAGGAATGCATAGAGCCAAAAGTAAAGTTTGATTTGATTTCAAATAATGGCCTGGGGCTGTTTTTCAGGGTTTGGGTTCGGCCTCATAGTTCCAGTGAAGAGTATTGTTAATTCTACAGCACACAAAGAGGTTTCAGACAATTATATGCTTTCAACTTTGTGGCAGCAGTTTGGGATGAACTGGAACGGAAATTGTGAGCCAGGCCTACATCCAACATCTGTGCCTGACCTCTCTAATGCTCTTTTCACTGGATGGACACAAATTTCCACTAACACTCAAATCTTGTTGAAAGCCTTCTCAAAAGAGTGGAGGCTGGTATTGCTTCAAAGTGGGAACTAACTCCATGTTACTGGCCATGGAATGGGATGCCCAACCAACTCATATAGGTCTGATGGTCAGGTGTCCACATGCTTTTGGCCATAGAGTGTAGCCTGAAAGATATACCTTTTTTCAATGCACACAGAGTTTTATATTGTTTTTAATAAAGTCTTCTTAAAAGCTACCTAGTTTCTATTTCCAGCATTTTGGAGTCTTTGAAAGGTTATGCATGGTTAGTTACTGTTCAGTGAAGTTAATTTTTATTTCACAGAGGTTTTAAAAAACTCAGACACAGAAACATCATTCCAATGAAGACTACACTTTTATTCCAATATTTTGTAAAGGCTTTAAACTGAAATGTATGACACGGCATCCTTGTCTCAACAAATGAATCCACCTTTCCCAAATCAAAAATAACACATTCCTCTAGTTTTACACTACCATAAGCAGGTACATAGTACATGTACAGGTCTACCTATGCTCTACAAAGGTTAAGTACATGGGTTACCTGAGGTATGTTTGCATACAAACCATAGTCTTTCAAATACATCTCAAGTTGTAATAAAATATACAGTAAACGTCTAGAGAAATACCATTTAAAAAAAAAAAAAATTAAGGCAGATTTTAATATGAAACTTTTCTGACCAGCTTGAATTCCATATAATTAAAGTGGACATGTTCCATGAGCATCGACAAAATTACACATGATATGCTTTATACTGTATGTTATTTTATGGTTCTTAGATTATACACTATTGTAAGGTGGCTGAATGCACAAAAATACATGTTTATGATGTACAAAATTGCAAAATGAATGGCACTATAATGACAAAGTCAAGATGAATGGAGAGTACATAAAGTTAAGCACGAAATGTTTTCCTTAGTTTTGATGAATAAATATTTATTATAATGATGTTTCTTGTTACACACAATGTATTTAAGGTAATCTGATTCATTTTACTGGATCTAACTATTCTAATACTATCCAAAGTTGTCATCTATTAATTTAATAGACACAGCATGTTTTTCTTGTTAATGAAAAAGGGCCTTTTTCTTGACTTAAGTATTTTTTAAATAGACATTTTAAATGATTTGTAGACATGTAATGTCACTTTTCATTATCCTGTTGATAAAATAAACAGGGCATATAATATAGAATTTAGGAATTTGGTTCATCTGGGAACCCTCTGTTTTCCTATGCTATCTGAAAAAGCTTAACCCTAATACATACTAGTACATATAATCAAGCAAAGACTGGAATGATTTATTCCCAAACAGGAATTCTATTGAAATGGACAAAAGAAGCACACATGTATGTGAAGTCCTGAAGGTGTAGTACTGTCATCAAAGGCAGCTCTGAAAATAGTACAAAGTTCAAGATGTGTGCTGTCTTAGACATATTTCCTCTGTAAAAGTGTGCGTGTATCTGTGTATT